CTCCTAGCAATAGAAGCAGCGCGATGATGATGATGATGATGATGATATGGGCTTTAGGGCGCGCCGACTGGGTAGGTCACATGACACCCATTTTAGGTAATGCCACGTACATGTAAGTACTGTATAGGCTTTTACTGCAGAAGTAGTGACGGGCATAACCCTTTACAGTTAAAGTTTGGTCGTGAAGCAATCGTGCTGTGTCTGAGCTATTGCAGTGCAGGCAAGGTCGCGAAAAGTTGAGGCTGTAGAAGTCTTCGCTACATAAGTAATGCCAGGTATATGTTTTCTACGGGATAAGTTTTGCCGTATAGTACTCGTGTTGTGTATGAGTTTTTGCAGCACATGTAATGTCACGTATAAGTAAAAACTGTATTAGTGTTGCTGTGGAAGCAATAACAGGTATACGTTTTTGTAGAGTAAATTTTAGCATGTAGCATTCACATCGTGAATTATTTTTTTGCGGTAGAAGCAAGGCTGCTGTCAGTGGAGACTGTGCTGATATTATCTCTGCAGAAACTTGGGATGGCTCGCTTAGCGTGGTATCGGACTGTAGCGCCCTCGGCAGAACTCGCCGTGACTTGGCTGAGGGCGGTGGGTGGTTTACCTTCGCTCGGGCCACGGTCGTTTGCGCCTGACTCGCGCGTTAAGACCCGCTAGGGCTCACCGCTGAGAACGTCAGAAGTCACCGCTGAGGACACCAGGACTCACCGCTGGGGACACCAGGACTCACCGCTGAGGATGCAAGGACTCAACGCTGAGGACACTAGGACTCGCTGCTGAAGACAATAGGACTCATCGCTGAGGACAATAGGACTCATCGCTGAGGACACCATGACTCACCGCTGAGAACACAATGACTCACCGCTGGGGACACTAAGACTCATCGCTGAAGACACCAGGAATCGCCGCTGAGGACACCAGGACTCACCGCTGAGGGCATTGGGACTCGCCGCTGAGGACACCAGGACTCACCGCTGAGGACACCAGGACTCGCCGCTGAGGACACCAGGACTCACCGCTGTCAGCGCCGCCGGCGTCAGGAAGGTCCAGCAGATGCGCAGCCAGGGCCCCAGTCGGGAGCCCGTCATCATCTGTATGTTGTCGTAGAACCGGCCGCAGCCGTACACCCAAGCGACGGCGACGCACTCGAAGAAGCAGAACCACAGCAGCACCATGCCCGAGGCGGAGTAGTAGTCGAACAGGGTGAAGACGTAGACGCCGCCCTGTGACGCAGCGGGTCAGCGCCATGCGGCTCAGACGACAGCCTTGGTTAGAGGCACGTTCGGACGCTGCAGCCCGTGACGCTAAAGCATCCGCGCTGGCGGCGACCCCCTGATGTTAGTCACTACGATATGTCTGAGTCACCATCACGGAACATCGCCGCACGCACAGCAGCCACACAGCAGCGTTCTCATTTATGTCGGGATTTGCTTAGGGGAGGGAGCAATGATGTCCTCAACGAGCTCGCACAGTCGCCAGATTTAGTTACGGCAGCTTTGTCAGAGAGTGGTTTTGCTCGTTCTCATCACGACACAATGTCTGCGCGTCCTGCAAGAAGCCAACAACTTCGAAACCCGTACAGGGTGGTAATATTCTTCACTACATTGCAGGTAGTGTTCTTCACAATATATCAGGTAGTGTTCTTTACCACATATCAGATAGTGCCTTTGACGATAGTCACGTATGGCTGCGGCGAGAGAAGCGATGTGTCCTCAGTGCGAGCAGCACAGACAGCTGGTCAGCTTACATTGGTAACCAGGAACAGGCCAATAAGGAAGCTGACTGCTGACGTCGCCAGTATAAACAGCTCCCGGCGCCTGCCGACCCTGAAGCGGAGCGTGGAGAGGTGTTGCAGATAGATGAAATGGGAGGCGCCGTGGCGACCTCGACATGCAGCATGCTCGCTTGGTGAAATGAAGTGGGAATGAATGCAAAAACTCCATCGAACGCAAAGCTACGACTCGAGTTCAATATGACGAAAAGGACAATAGCCAAAAGTCCCACGACATATGAAAATAGGGCCAAAACATGTGTTTGGCAGAAGGCGCTAGGGTTACCAGACGACAAGGTGGCAACTGAATTTGACGCTGATTTCCCGGTTTTGTTTGCATTTGTAGTTAAAACACTTTTGGTTGCTGGTGTTTTATAATCAGCAATGAACAAAGCGCAATAAATTACGCAATTTGTTCGGTGCATTAGCGAGGAACATCAGTCACATAGATAACACAGTAGTATCATCCTTATTCCTCGGAAAAACCAGGAGAATAGAGATATGGTTGGGTTGATATTTCAGCAACGTGCCTTTCTTGAAACAATGACAGAATACCTAACTAAATCTCTATTCTCCTGGTTTTTCCAAGACACAAGTCTGATAAAACGCAATAAAGTCAATAACAGCGTCATAGGTGATTACTAAGCTAGACCAAATATTGTAACCAAATGCCGCCAAAGCCTCAACCCGTGTAGTCTCTGGGCAGCTGTTTTAATTATAACATTCTTTTCATTTCAATTTAGCAGTCCTCGGATAGCAAGCGTAAATCGACTTGTAGATCAGCATTCATGGCAAAGTCAGGGAGGTCATACCCATCTGCCAGAGAGACAGATCTGGGGTCAGATATGTACACACATATCTGACGCAGATATACACACATATGCGGCGTCAGATTCGCCCATCATCAACGTCCGCTATCACCAAATAGGCGTTCACTTGGGTGAGCAGACTTCCATCGCGGAGGCAAACGAGCTCAGCGCACGCTGTAGTCGGCATCTGAGACGGACCCAGATCCACTGACGGCGCTCAGGTCTACCGGCTACTGGCTGACGTGGAACACACACCAGCACGCTCAGGTCTGCCAGCTACTGGCTGACGTGGAACGCACACCAGCACGCTCAGGTCTACCGGCTACTGACTGATGTGTAACACACACGCCAGTACGCTCAGGTCTGCCGGCTACTGGCTGACGTGGAACACACACCAGCACGCTCAGGCCTGCCGGTTTCTGGCTGACGTGGAACACACACCAGCACGCTCAGGTCTGCCGGCTACTGGATGACGTGGAACACACCAGCACGCTCAGGTCTGCTGGCTACTGGCTGACGTGGAACACACACACCAGCACAGTCGACATTGGCCTGCTCTGTCCAGCGCCGGCTCTGGCTTCGCATGGCCGTAATTACGCCATGAGCGCATGCTTCGATTCACAATCACGGCTGCATGGCATGTGATAGAAGCCATGTGGCAAATACGTATACCACGCTGACGAGCGTTTCCCAGACCGTCCGGGAGATCTTGCCAGATCACAGCACGCCTCCCAGGCAGCCCGGGAGACCCCGCCAGAACGCAACACGCCTCCCAGGCAGTCCGGGAGACCCCGCCGGAGCACAACACGCCTCCCAGGCAGCTTGGGAGACCTCACCAGAGCACGGCACGCCTCCCAGACCGCCCGGGAGATCTCGCCCGAGCACAACACGCCTTTCAGGCCGCCCGGAAGACCTCGTCAGGGCACGGCACGCCTCCCAGGCAGCCCGGGAGACCCCGCCAGGGCACAACACGCCTCCCAGGCAGCCCGGGAGACCCCGCCAGGGCACAACACGCCTCCCAGGCAGCCCGGGAGTTCTTGCCAGAGCACAACACGCCTCCCAGGCAGCCCGGGAGTTCTCGCCAGATCACAACACGCCTCCCAGGCAGCCCAGGAGACCTCGCCAGATCACAACACGCCTTTCAGGCCGCCCGGAAGACCTCGTCAGAGCACGGCACGCCTCCCAGACCGCTCGGGAGATCCCGCCAGAGCACATCACGCCTCCCAGGCAGTCCGGGAGACCTCGTCAGATCACAACACGCCTCCCAGGCAGCCCGGGAGACCTCGTCAGATCGCGACAGTGTCGCCCGATGACCGGTGGTGCGCCGGGAACACGCCAGCCCGGCGCCTACCTCAGGTATTGTGGAAACACGTCGACAATTGCGGTGACGAAGCCCTCGACGGCCACGAACTGCGAGTCCAGTCCCAGCGTGAGCAGCATGAAGAAGAACAGCACGGCCCAGAGCGGCGCCAGCGGCATCATTGATACGGCCTTGGGGTACGCGATGAAGGCCAGCCCGGGTCCTGCAGCAGCAGAGAAGGGGGCTTCAGGGGCTACAGAGGAGAAGAGGGGACGTCAGGAGCTGCAGCAGCAGATAAGGGGCGTCAGGAGCTGCAGCGACAGAAAATGGGGCATCAGGAGCCGCAGCAGAGAGAGGGGGCGTCAGCAGCTGCAGCGGCAGAGAAAGGGGGCGTCAGGGGCTGCAGCGACAGAAAATGGGGCATCAGGAGCTGCAGCGGCAGAAAAGAGAGTGCCAGGAGCTGCAGCGGTAAAGAAAGGGGCAACGGGAGGCGAGCAATGGGTTTCAGTTACGAAGATGAAAGTCAGGGACCACGTAAGGGACTTCTGGAGCAGAGAAGGGGCATCAGAGGCGGAGGTGGACGTCATGGGACATGTCAGGGACGTCGGTGGCAGAGTGATTAACATCAGGGGCAGAGGCGACGAGACCGTGCAAGGGATGTCAGGGCAGCGTAATGGGCATCGGGGACGGAAGTGGACCTTAAGGGGCGAGTAATGGGCCTCGGAGGCAGAAAAGGGACAAATCATAGATGTCACAGATGTCACAGGCAGGACGCCGGGGGCAGATCAAGGGGCGTCAGGGACAGAATACGGATTGTCAGGGACGGAGTTATGCATGTCGCGACTAGACTAAGTGAGATCAGGTACACCACACGTGGTGCTTGGGCAGGTTAAAGGACAACAGAAAACAAGAAAATGACGTCAGGGAAGTGTATTCGGACTTTCCGGGCACGTGGAGCATCACCATCATCAAAAGGAAGAGGACATCGGCGTACCAGGGCTGGATAAGGTTGCTGAAGAACACAGGCAGTGCTTGCCGTGGCAGAGCAATGCTGAGTGCTCGCCGGGAACAGAGCAAGAGGACATCAGATATGAGGCAATGAGACGTCAGTGGTCTACGCGCTCCTGGCAGACTTAACACGTGTCCCTGCCAGCGCCCGGAGCTGCTCAGAAATCTGATACATGTCCCTTCCAGGACCCAGAGTTGCTCGGAAATCTGATACATGTCCCTGTCAGCGCCCGGAGCTGCTCGGAAATCTATAACGTCCCTGCCAGCGCCCGGAACTGCTCAGAGATCTGACACATGTTTCTGCCAGTGCCCAGAGCTGCTCGGTGATCTGATGCATGTCCCTGCCAGCGCCCGGAGCTGCTCGGAGATCTGATACATATCCCTGCCAGCGCCCAGAGCTGCTCGGCGCTCCGGCTGGCGCATGGGCCGGAGCGCCGAAATGAGCATGGCTTGTGCTCGGACTGGCGGCGGCCACATCTCAGGGACCTGTGTGCTCGGTGGCGTGTCGGGAGGACACGGATCGAGCACGGCCCGGACGCGTCCGCGTGCGGTGAACCTACCGGACTTGGCCACGGCGGCCACCGGCACTCCCTGCTCCTGGGCCATGAAGCCGAGCACACTGAAGACGACGAAACCTGCAACACGACCCCGGCTGACGTGACACGCAGGACGCGCGCAGTCACAACGGAGGACACGGCGCCACCGTGACGTGCGTTCGAACAATGCTGAGGCGGGAGGTGACGCACAAAGATATAATGAGAACTGAAACACTCTCTTTTAAGTCTGCCAAAAATTACAACACAGCACAGGCATTTCGACATTTGTGCGGTAGATATTAATGATGTTGAATGAACTTTTCAGCTGTTTTTTTTGGCGATTGACCCATAATGTAGTTTTTGCGCGGTGACATTGACATTGACCTGTGTACAATGCACTCTGACTGCAATCAAGAACCAAGCCGTGGCTAAAATGATTCCTTAATAAATGTAATTGACTTGACAAACGTGTGCAAGTATGGCGAAAGCATTCAATACATTTTTATCAACATCGTCCAATGAGGGCGTTGAAGCTATCAGAATTGTTTGTTGCGGTGAAAACTACGCCAAAAAACACACCTCTTTTCAATGGGATCCTTTGCCGTCGAAGAGCACATAAATGTACACTGTGGAGCGCATGTGCAGAGTGCTACATATAACACGTAGGACGGCACAGAACCACAAACCGGAAAACAAGCTGGTGAGGCTATTGACAACGGCCAGCAGCGTGCAGTCCTTGACGAAGTTGTTGTTGAACTTGTTGTAGGAACCAAGCGCAGTCATGGAGCCCAAGGCTATGGCGTAGCTGAAGAATATCTGCGTCCCGGCGTCGATCCAGACCTGATGGCAGCATCTGCCATTTTCACTGCCGGTCACTGCTTGCATCCGTCCCTGATCATCGGCGGCCAGTGATCAATGTCGGTCTCGTGTTATGTTCTGATCGTTTCCCGTCACTAGTCGGTACCAACAACCGAATATGTCCGTCATTAATCACTAGCAGCCTATGATCGTCGTCTGCATATGATCATTGCCGATCACGAATTATTGCCGGTCTTGAATAATTGGCGGATGAAGGTAACAGCGTTCGTAATTGATCATCGGCCATAAGTCATCAGTGATCGTTGCCTCTCGCGGTCAATGATCGCTGACCGTTGTCGATTGGGCAATGATCGACAACCGGAGGTCTTCCAGTTCCATTAGAGAGCGTTACATAAAGCTCACGGCGTGGAAGAGCAGCAGTGAATGTGACGTCATCGACCCGCCTTTGAGCTCACCCGTGTGGTCACCACCTACTTCAGTCGCCGAGTGAATTAAACGTATTGAGGCTTGCAACACAAGTCACATCAATATAAGATCGGGCGAAGGAGCGCATGCCACGTGCGCGCTGGTCAGTCCTATACATCGCCTTCCAATTCCCTAGAGAGCATTCTATAAGCCCACGACGCGGAGGAGCAGCAGTAAATGGTCATCAATTGCGAGCTGGACTGACACTTCAAATGGAGTGATAGGTCACGAATGGTGTCTTTTTTAAGGACACGGCTGCCGTTTGCGCCGCTCGTTCCGCCTTTCCTGTCAAGCTGACTTATGACGAGCTATGGCCGCCGAGCGTCGAACGTGACTTTCTGAACGGACGCACTCACGCAGCACGAAACTCTTAGCAATTTTGAATGGAAAACGTGTATGCCGAAGCTCCTCATAAGCGGGGAATGACCATGCCTCCAGCTTTGTATTGTCAAGCAGCAGGGGCTGGTTGCAAAGCCCTGCCTGTGTAGTGCTTTATGATGGTCTTGTTTCAATGAGCACCTGCGTTCGGGAGAGACAAACGAGTGAGAACTCGATGGTTCAGCGCTTGCCTAACATCTTTTTGTGTGGCATGTCTCCACCAAGTCATTTAGACAGTTAAGAATCCACAGGTGCTACCCTCATCTGTGTTTACATTTATTTTGGATCTGTGTTTATATCTGTGATCCTCAGTTGATCCTCATCTGTGTTTATATTTATTTTGGATCTGTGCTTATATCTGTGATCCTCAGTTGATCCTCATCTGTTTATATTTAAGCTTATATTAAGATAGAACGTGGTTTGATTCCTCAGGTTTAACCCGTCAGAGGGGACCAAGCGGTGTCAATCCGATCCTACGTCGTGTCACTGCCAACTGTCCCATGACCCGTCGGGGGACCAAATAGGGTTAACCCGATCCTGTGTCGTGTCACTGCCAACTGTCTTATGACCCGTCAGGGGACCAAGCGGTGTCAATCCGATCCTGTTGGCGCCGACGCCGACGCCTGCAACTCTGACAGCTACCTCGTTTTGCCGCCACTGTTTTGTCCTGCACACAGCAAGCAGGGCTCAGTGTCCTTGATTAGGGAAGACGGGCAGCTGCCATGTGACCAAGCATCGGAAGCACCTGTGACCCCACATCTTCGAACTTTTGGCCACGGCGCACATTGCATGCGGTCACTGCGTACTCGCCTTACTTGCGCGCAACTTTAAAAACAGACGGCTGGATACGGGCGGATGGTTTAAAGCTTTTTCCAGCCTTACATCGAGCGGGAGACAAACGCGCGCCGCAGACTGTGGATGAGACGGGAGCAGGCCGACGGAGACGGCGAAAACCGAGACGGTTTTCCACTTTGGAGTTTGAGCTTCGTTGCGTATTTCTTCATGTGGATGTGGTCATAAGGATCAGCCGTTTTAAGCTTGCCGTGATCACATCCTCCGGGGATACGATCACTGCTGGTGAGTACTCTGTTAATGGTATATAAGCTTGATCTGATATAACTTTTTGTGTTCATGGGGTAAGTGTAAGTGCTGAAGAAGTAGAACAGCATCACGCCACATAATCGCTAACGGGTCACGTTCGCCTCCTCAACTAGGCAGCCGGCCCTTGACTTTACTATGACGTGCCTAATCCCAGTCAGTGGCCGTTTTTCAATAGTCCTTTTCGGCACCTTGCCTTTTCTCATTTCCACTACCTTTCATAAGCTGGCACTATGTTAGCTCTGGCGGGGCGCGGAACACACTATTAATTTATTATTCTCATATATTTGGCGATGTAATACCCTGTATGTGCCACACCTCCTAGGAGGCACCTCAGCAACATTTGGATCAGGCGATAGACTTTGACCAATTCATTGTGGTTTTCTGACCTTGTTATTAGGGAGTGGGCGCTTACGTTTAATTTTCAAACGATAACTTCACAGACTGTGTGTGGATAGCACGGAGCTTTTACCGCCCGGCTGGACAGCACGTGTGCTCTTACCGCCCGGCTAAAGAGCACGGACGCTCTTACCTCCCGGCTGGAGAGCACGTGGACACTTATCGCCCGGCTGGAGTGCACGGGGCTCTTACCACCCGGCTGGAGAGCACAGGTGCTGTCACCGCCCGGCTGGAGAGCACGGGGCTCTTACCACCCGGCTGGAGAGCACACGTACTGTCACCGCCCGGCTGGAGAGCATGGGGCTTTTAACCGCTCGGCTGGAGAGCACGAGTGCTCTTATTGCCCGGCTGGAGCACGGATGCTCCACCTCCACCGCCCCGGCTGTAGAATACGGGGCCTTAACCGCCCGGATTGAGAGCACGGATGCCCTTACCGCCCGCCCTACTGCAGAGCAGGGTGCACTTTCCGCCCGGCTGGAGAGCACAGATGCCCTCACCGCTCGGTAGAAAACAAACGTCAGACACCCATCACACCGTTTAGGCACGCTGGTATGCTATTCGGATGTCATATAAGTCTCGTAATCCGCCTAGTTTTAGCCTGAGCCTGCCTCACGAGCTGAGAGGTGTGAAAGAGGTATTAACTAACTACTAACCACCTAACCACGAGATAGCTATCTTCTAACTGATGACTACGGCCAAAGAGATGACCCTGTCTTTACATACATGTCCGTTTTTGAACAGTTTGCTCAGCTCTGTGGGCTTGTTTGCTCAGCTATGTGGGTGGACGTTATTGGTAGTTGATTAGACGGATCAGTTCGGGACCAGTTGACCAGGAATGAAGTTCGTGAGTATTTCTCCCAGCATATTGGCCAGTATCGAACAATGGTCATGGCTTAAAAATACGCAATAAGGCGTGTGAGTTAAAATCGTGAAAAGCGCTCCATTTAGCGCATTCGAAATAATGTTTGACCCGGTATGACCTAACCTACCTACATTCACTGGAATGCGTTGGCATTTAACGCAACTTAACGCTTAACGCTTATCTTCTACAAACAAACACCAGCAGACGTCAGCACGTGAAAAGCGGCTGCTGACCTCAGCAGAGGTCATAACTCGCGACGTGCGAAAACGTTTGTTTCATAGAGCACATGAAATGCTGTAAATTTGTCACTGTAAACGTCATCATCGTGTGTTCACTGCTTCAAAACTTATTCCAAAGAGCAGTTGGAATAACTTTTCCTGGCGAGTCTCAAGCACAGAGGATTGACCCCCCCCCCCTTTCTACCCCCCCCCCCTACGGACGATGAGTATGTAAGCATGACACGAGTACGTGATAGCAATGAAGTAATCTGACGCAAACCACTCCTGTCACCTGAAAATGTGTGCAAAAATGTAGCATCACGTTTTTCGAGTTCACAACACATTTTTCAAGGAAAAAATACAAACGTCACTTTTTAAAACGATTAGAAGGGTTCAACCTAAAATTGATCCCAAAAAACATAACAGAGTTTTAGAACTCCTAGAAAAAACACGAATCTACGCTTTTGATCGACTTCAGAAGATCCTTGGGCGCAGCATGATGCCGCTGCTGCTGCCAAACCTGTGCCTCGACTAGCTTGCTGAAGTCGGGGGTGAGGTAGTAGATGATGCCAAGTCCTGCGCCAGGCAACGTCGCTCCGCGAACCAGCAACACGGCCAGCATGATGTACGGAAAGGTAGCTGGAGGAAGAGCGGGTGAGAGTGAGCTGGCGTCCTCATGCACGGTGTACTGTTGCCTGGTGTGACGCCAGACCAAGTACGGTGGAGGACGGTGCAAAAATCGTGGTGCTGAGCAAAAAAGGACAGCGCCCAATGGCGCACTGAGTTGTGCACAAGATCACGATTGCAGCAGCGTTAAATTCACACACGTTCCCGTGTTTTACATACAATTCAAACGGATGTCTCTGAGCGTGCCGGCGGCTGCCATCCATGAGTGCGAGCACTGTCCGCGAAACACCACACTGCCTCTCGGGCCCGCGCGGGAGCGGTGCGGCAAGCAGCCTGGACATCACGCGTTACCCGACTACGATGGAAAGCTTTTCGTTGTACAACGGTCGCCGTTGTCTACAGGCCGCTCAACCCAAGTAACAGATCGCTAGCAGCTCACCAGTGAAGTAGACCACCTTGCCGGAAGATTTGATACCCTTCCAGACGATGAAGTAGATCATGATCCAGGCGAGGAGCAGGGTCAGCACCAGCCTCCACTGTGGCACACCCACCTCATCGATTCCAGAGCTGACGCCAAGAATGTTGTTCCTGGGGGGGGGGGGGGAAGGGGGTCAACTTTCACATGCAGGTCGGAGCACGGCCGAGAGGATAAGTCCTTATGCGATAATAGCCAGGGGTCCAGGCAAACACTATATGACAACGAGTTCATCCATTCACCGACGTCCATTCCCATCAGGTCACGAGCCATCCCCCAGGTTACGAGACTAAGGCCATCCTCCTCAGGTTACGAAAAAGTCACGACTCACTCCTTGGGCCCAAAGAAACCCATAGGCTTGACTGGGCCCATAACTGGCCGAATCGACACACAGAAAACGTAACAAAAGTGGACGTCTTTGGGCCTACAAGCGACCAGAAACAGCTAAAAGCAACAGTGAACGACCAATGAATTACGTTGCTTACGCTGAGTGAGAGGGTGGTATTGGGGATGTTTTAAGTCTCATCGCGTTGCTCATAGACCTTATACTGTTGCCGATGACACTACATGGCCACTTGCCAGGTCAGTCCGATCGCCAAGGGGCCTTCTACATCACCCCTGTTGGCACCTCAGCGGAAGGCCGTATGCTGTTGTTGGGGTCCCATGTGCTAGTATGCCAGGGTACTCTGAATCGATCAGGGGCCCTCCACGAATTCTAATCCTTTACATGAAAGGCTTTGTAAGTTATTGCCGGGAGGTCATATGCTGACCTGCCGGGGTGCTCCCGATTGCTTGAAGTCCGTTAACATTCGTCTCCGGTTCTTTCCACTTGCCCGGTGTGCCCGTGCTCTCGCTGGAGGCATCTAAGTTAACGTACCGAAGCACTCGATGCCCAAGGGCCCTGGACATTGTTCTAGAGCACTTTTCAGTTGACCTCACCCGCGGAGGACCATAAACTCTTGTCTGGGTCTTTTATGTTAAACTGCCCGGGCCCTCTTTATCGCACAGGGGCCAGCTACCATGGTCTAAGACATTTCATATTTGCTCGGAAGACCCTGTGCTGTTGTCGGAGGCCCTAACATCCATCTACCAATGAACTCTCAACTGATCAGAGGCATTCATCCATGTACATTGGTTTTGGGTTCTTTCCGTTTGCTCCGAGGCCCTGCGCTCTGGTCGGGAGCCTATATGTTAACCTACCGTTGCACTCCTATCGTTCAGAGGCCAACAAATTGGTCGTGGGTTCTTCTTGTTTGTTCGGAGGGCCCTACACTGTTGGCTGAAGCTTCTCGGTTGACCTGTGGTGGTAGCCTCGACCGCTCAGCTGGCGTCCGCACTGCTCTTCATTGATTGATCATTGATCTTTGGTTCTCCCATTTTATTCGAGCGGTTCCGCTATCGATGAGATCTAAATATTCATCAGCTTGGGCCTCTTGATCGCTACGGGCTCTCCACATTGGTCTTGGGCTGCTTTCATAAAGTCAAAGTACCTTTCTCTGTTGCCAAAAGCCTCACCAATGCCTGGGGCGTTAGCACTTCTGTTCTGCATGGTGTTTCGCATACTCGTGTATGCGGTCCTGGCTAAATTTATTCATTTACACAGATTGGAGATCTACACGATGACCACTTTCCTTGTCGCCATTTCAGTGGTAGCATATTCTATCCTCCTTCATTATAGCCAAAACAAAAACTGTGCATTAGACATAAGCCACCAGCTGACCACACCGACTAGCCGACCAGTCACCGCAAACCGGCTGTCTGTAACTAACCTTGAAGTAAAGTGCTTCAGTTAGATAGTATTTGGCATCCAACATCATCTCACTCGGCCACATTCTCCGAAATATCTTATTTCAAAACAGCAGAACCCACCATGATCTGGAGCAACTGAATGCACTTGATGCACGTACACGCATGGGATGCCTTGTTTTCTTTGGCTGCGCAAGTGAAGATGGTTTTCTATACAAATAAAAGCATTATAAGAATCTAAAAACTTCATGGTCAGAAGCCGAGGATTTTTGGGGGAGAGTGGGCCCCAAACCCCACATGGGCTACAATGCTGCGTGCCTCGTCCCCTCTCCGTTCGTGAAATTCTGGATCCGCCACTGCTGTTTGCGCACTTCACCGTAGAAGCGTAGACATCGCAGTGCGGTTAGGCACATATAGACTGTGCCGCGGTCGTGCCGAGCCATGGTCTAAACGCTGAAGTCGACACAGGCTCAGACGGGCCGCATTTGTTCAAAGTCGACGGAACTCACCGGCAGACTTACAAACTCGATGGTGCTCACCGGCAGACTTACTCCGTGATTTACTTACTTACAGACTTTCTTACCCAGTCGATTGCTTCCTTTCAAATAGTCGGCAACCCCTTGCAAACACCCTGCCGGAGCTGTCCACCCAAGATATCCAGAGACAGATATCCCAGACTCCAGACAGACTTCAGACTGCCGGAGCTATCCGTCCAAGATATCCAGAGGCAGATATCCTCAGACTCCAGACAGACACCAGGCTGCTGGAGCTATCCGTCCAAGACATCCAGGGACAGATGTCCTCAGACTCCAGGCAGACATTCGGCATCCAGAAAACGCATCTACAGGTCATTTGCGGAGCACTCACTCCAGAAACTAGTGGCATCCAGCCTGCAACACTCTCACCCGACACTCGTGATACTCACTCCCAGAACTCCACCACGGGATCTGTGGCGCCTTCGGCCACGTCGGTGGCGTTGGTGCCGTTGACGCCCTGCTGAAGGTGGAGCAGAGCGGCGTGTTCCACGCGTTGTGGCACGTCGCCCAGGGCAGAGGCGACTGGAACGAGTAGAACATGTAGAGCAGGCCCCAGGCCAGGATCACGATGTAGTAGATGTTGAGGAGGAACGAGATGACCGTCGTGCCGTAGCCGATACCTGCCGGAACGGCTCAGGACCTCAGAGGGAGTGGGACACAGGTGACGTGGGCGGCCCTCAGAGACAGCGGGACACAGGTGACGTGGGCGGCCCTCAGAGAGAGGGGACACAGGTGACGTGGGCGGCCCTCAGAGACAGCGGGACACAGGTGACGTGGGCGGCCCTCAGAGACAGCGGGACACAGGTGACGTGGGCGGCCCGCAGAGACAGCGGGACACAGGTGACGTGGGCGGCCCACAGAGAGAGGGGGACACAGATGACGTGGGCTGCTCTCAGAGACAGCGGGACACAGGTGACGTGGGCGGCCCTCAGAGACAGCGGGACACAGATGACGTGGGCGGCCCTCAGAGACAGAGGGACACAGGTGACGTGGGCGGCCCTCAGAGACAGCGGGACACAGGTGACGTGGGCGAGCCCTCAGAGGGAGGGGGACACAAGTAGCTTGCGTGGGCCACCAGAGAGACCGGAGAGCTAAATGACTTTTCTGCTGCATGGCTTATGTCGTCGCGGAGCAATTGTAAAAAAATGCATAAGTTTGTGAAGGTGTTTTCGTGGAATTGCGGTTTTCACACTTAAGCATGCCGAGGCTTGAAAACGCTCCGCAAAAAAGGCAGTGTAAAGTGGGCTACACATTTCCAGCGCACGAGGCGTGTGGCGGCTCCACTCACCTGTGAACACTGGGCAGAGCTTCCAGACCGAGATACCGCCCTCGCCCATGAACTGGCCGATGCCCACCTCCAGGAAGAACATGGGCACGCCGCCAGTTACCAGGCAGGTCAGGTAGGGAATGAGGAAGGCACCTGCAACAGGGAGCCAGCCGGTCAACAGCAGGTCAGCTTGAGGTCAGCCTGAGGTCAGCCTGAGGTCAGCCTGAGGTCAGCCTGAGGTCAGCCTGAAGTCAGCCTGAGGTCAACCGCCGGTCAGCCGCCGGTCAGCCTGAGGTCAGCCTGAGGTCAGCCGCAGGTCAGCCACTGGCGGGAACACGCGGACGCAGAGCGGGACAGGCAGATGCGTGAGGGACCGTGGGAGCCGGCTGAAAATGGCCAGTGGACGGCGTCGTTTGCGCTGCTCCAAAACCAAACCGACTATTCCGGATACATGGAGACAATCGTTCTACGGCAAAGGAGGCGGTTGCCGCGTACCAGTATCAGTTACCTCGCATAGAGAAGTTGACGTGAAAGATGTTGCAGGCCATAATCTCAAATACACCGACTTGAAATATGCAAGATCCCGCTAGATCCCGTTAAATGAAACGCCCAGACAGTACCTCACTGCGACCACCTACCGGGCTTCTGAGCCAACCAGTCTAATTTTGGGAACTCTTGGGCCCGTGATCAATTTTCGCTAAATCTTCAGACGGTTCTGGCCGGCGTACTCGGCGTCGGTGGTTTCCTAAACGATTTGGCCGTGTCGGGGGTAGACGTTGACTCACAACACAGCGCTGAGGACCGTCCCAAGCCCACAACACATTGCTGAGGTCTGTCCCAAGCCCACAACACAACGCTGAAGCCCACAACACAGCGCCGAGGGCTGTCCCAAGCCGCCCGCAAGCTCCTGGCCTTCGCATTAATCTGGATAAATGCTAGTGTGATTTGAATGAAGTGACTTATATGGATTACAAGGTCAGCTCCAGGGGAGCGAAGACCACGAAGGACAACGCGCCGGCCATTCTGAGGCCTTCTGAGCCAAACGTGAGTAAGCTCCGGTCTTAGCTGGGCTTGATAATTACTATGGGTTTCTCAAGCACCTGTCATCGATCCTGGCGTCGCTGTGTGTGCCGTTGTGCCGGAATGAGCACTGGCCTAACCGTGGTGCTGAGCGATCCGCGCTCGAGAGAGGCAGCGCTCGCTGTTAAATCCTCCTGATTTGGCACACCGTGACCATGACTTTAGGGTGTGGTTGTCAGCGGCTGTCCATTGCCGAGAGGTGCGACATCAGTCAAATAACGTCAGACGGTGAGATGCCGGTGGCTTTCTTTACTCGCACACTTGACGACACAGAACGACGTTACTCACAAACAGGCCGAGAGGTGTTGGCAGTGGGATCCGATGTAAAAATGTGCCTCTACTTGGCTGGTAGGCCATTTCGGGTGCAGACCGGTCATAAGCCTATACTGGGGTTGATGGTGAGCAACAGCCGCTTCCGCTGAGGGGGTCGCTGAGAGCGGTGCGCTGGGCCATGCTGCGTCGCTGAGAACGGTACACTGGGGCCTGCTGAGTCGCTGGGAGCGTGTGCTGGGCCCTGCTGCGTCGCTGAGAGCGGTGCGCTACTCCCCATCCCCGCCGGACCCTGCTGCTTTTCGCCCACGACTGCCACCTTGAATACCATGTCGGGAAACTACAAGGCCATTGCGACACGTTGAGCTGACTGCCGCCAGCTGAGGGATCTGCTGACGTCAGCAGTCCTGTCCCACTTGAGGGGCCTGCTGACGTCAGCAGTCCTGTCCCTGCTGAGGAACCTGCTGAGAGGCCTCTGACGTCAGCGGTTCTGTCCCACCTGAGGGGCCTGCTGACGTCAGCAGTCCTGTCCCGCCTTAGGGCCTGCTGAAAGGCCTTCTGACGTCAGCGATCCTGTCCCACCTGAGGGGTCTGCTGACGTCAGCAGTCCTGTCCCACCTTAGGGACCTGCTGAGAGGCTTGCTGATGTCAGCGGTCCTGTGCCGCCTGAGGGACTATGACTTAAACCGGAATCGAAAATTGCGGTGCTCGTTCGCATACTGGGGAATCCCGAAGATACGGACAATGTATAACGCTCTCAGTGATTTGTCTCTCCGGACCTTGAAATGTTTTGTTGGGTGAACGGCATTTGTCATCTTACCTCTCCCCCAGTTTGCTCCCAATGCAAGCGGTTTGGTAGAGAGGTGCGTGCAGGCATTCAGACAAAGTTTCAGTAGCGGGAAAGGGGGCCATTGATGCCCCAAGTCTCTCGCGTGTTATTCCATCATGGTACCGCCGTGGCCAGCACCAGGCACGCACTGCCAGCGGAGCCGATGCTCGGACGCCAGTTATGGACTCAGCTCGATTCCTGCGGCCAGACCTGCGGGAGGCTGTCCGCACTGAGCAGGGCAACAGAAACGGCACAGGGACCGCGTCTGTCGGTGCAGAGGATATGGCACTCTGCGTATAGATGACCCAGTTTACGTTTCTGCTGTCGGCCAGGTGCAGAGATCGAGCGGTAGAAAGTGACCCAAAGGCGAGCCTCTTGGTGAACACGATGCTAAGCTTGCTGTGCGTTTGGGTGATGCTCGGGTGTTGGTGTGACATTTCGATCGGGTACGCCCGCGTGTCAGTCCCGAGGACATAAGGCGGTTATGTGACCCGATGCTATTCCCTACCTGCGCCCATGGCGGCGGCACCATGGAGACTAGGTACCTCGCGAAAAACAAACATTTTTTCGTTTTTTTTAGGTACCCCTGAAACTGGGAATTCGTCCATTGCAGAGACGTAGGTACCTAGGGGAGGCCATGGGGTCCATGGCCCCGACCTGGGCCAAGAGGCTTACACAGAGTGCTGTTGGCGATTTCGGAACAAATTAGCACGTGGTCAGAGGAAATTTGGCACCCCTCCCTCCTGCGAACAAAATATTCGCCGCGTATCTACGCTTGAAAATTTACATTAGCTTCGTCAGGAATGCGCCAGAATGCAGCAGACCATTGCCGGCCTCTCAGTGTCCACGGAATCCTCTCGGCACCACAGCCGCAGGCCGCATCCCAGGCCTGCATCCGCTTTGAGATGGCCAGCTGGCCGCTGCAATGGCGACGTCAGGAGCGTCCCGACACCGCTCGAAGCTGATGAGTCTCATCAGCAATATCCGCCCCATTTCCGGGGGAGGAGGGAGGGGGGGAGTAGCGGCGGGGAGTGACACCAGGGCACGAGCGAGCGCCGGGACTGGGGAACGTAAAGTGCGGAGTGCCTCCCTTCCAGCCTTCCAAAAATCTAACAATCGACCTGCAATCAATCACGAACTATAATCTAGCAATCGACCTGCAATCACGAAGTTTAAAAAAAACGATAGCCAGTGGCTATCGCACTGCCTTCGCCTTCTTCCCCCCGTCCAAGTCCGGCGAACGTACATCGGTTCTGCACCAGGCTGCGTACCAGAGTACGTGAAACAAGACCCGCGGCGTCCGTGGGTCTTGTCCCTGGTGATGCGTCTGTGGCCGTTTCCCTTCGTGCGCGGCTGTGATGCATCGTTCTAAGCGGCGGCGATGAGGCGGAGAACGCGTGGCGACACTGAGGGTCGCGGCGGCCTCGGCACCAGCTCGACCCGCCATTTGTGGCACCAGCTCGGCCCGCCATTTGTGGCAACCAGCTCGGCCCGCCATTTGTGACACCAGCTCGGCCCGCCAATTGGCACCAGCTCGGCCCGCCATTTGTGGCACCAGCTCGGCCCGCCATTTGTAGCACCAGCTCGGCCCGCCAATTGTGGCACCAGCTCGGCCCGCCACCTGTGGCACCAGCTCGGCCCGCCATTTGTGGCACCAGCTCGGCCCGCCACCTGTGGCACCAGCTCGCCCGCCACCTGTGGCACCAGCTCGGCTCGCCACCTGTGGCACCAGCTCGGCCCGCCACCTGTGGCAACCAGCTCGGCCCGCCACCTGTGGCACCAGCTCGGCCCGCCACCTGTGGCACCAGCTCGGCTCGCCAACGCCACGCGAGAGCACGTCTCTTCAAACCGCATCTCTTGTCCTGAACTGCGCGCTACGCGGGTGCAGTGCTTCCCGGCCAGTCAAAGTGAGCTCGCCCACCCTCGACTGCACTTCTACCATGTGTAAACAACAATACAGCCAATCCAAGGAAGCTCCCCACCCTCGACTGCACTCCTACCATATGTAAACAAGCAGTACAGCCAGTCCAAAGGAGCTCCCCCACCCTCGACTGCACTCCTACCATATGTAAACAAGCAGTAGAGCCAGTCCAAAGGAGCTCCCCAACCCTCTACTGCACTCCTACCATGTTGTAAACAAGAAATACAGCCAGTCCAAAGGAGCTCCCCAACCCTCTACTGCACTCCTACCATGTGTAAACAAACAATACAGCCATCCAAGGAAGCTCCCCAACTTCGACAGCGCTCCTACTACGTTTAAGCAAGCAAGACAGCCAACCCAAGCAAGATATCTCACCCTCGACTACACAACTGCCACATTTAAACGGAGTGTTCCACATTTGCATGGGGTTTATGGGGTTTGACCTGATAGCCATCTTGAACATCATTCGGTTCAGTTCGCAGTCCGTCCTGGCCTTCTTAAAACCAAAACCCCTCTAGTTTCTGAGCTACACGCCGGTAAATGTATGTAGCTTTTAGGGGGGACTATTTATTGGTTACTCAGGCATCCATGACGCCATAGTGCCATTCAAATCCTGCCATTTCATAAGCCATACGGCGAGCAAGACCAAAAAAATGTATATCAAAGCGTTCATATCTGACGTTCGTGAGCACGATTTCTAATATATATATATATATATATATATATATATATATATATATTCTATATATATCTATGTATCTATTATATCTATATATTATTTCTAGATATCACGGCTGCCAATCGGCTCTCAATCAATGTTGAGCAAGGTGTGATGACGTAATTAAACAACTACTTAATTGGAAACATATTACTAAACAGAGAAGTGCCGTTGTCTAGAGCAGTCGTTTCCACTTAAATGTATACCAGTGTTTATAAGTGATTTATTTCATAATATTTGATGCTTGCTGCAATATCTTCAAATGTGGAACATTCTCTAAACAAACAGTGTAGCTAATCCAAGGAAGGGCATCCCGCCTGCGACTACACCCATACCATAGTAAGACAAAGCATGCTTGCCTCGAATGTGCGACATAAATGGCGTAGGGGGTCGGAACACTTTGTAAGCAAAAGCTGTGTTTGTCCTTTGCACCCACCAACCAAATGGGCTTTCCTGTTCAGTCGCTGCCGTGAGCCCGGCCGTACGCCAGACAGGCTGCGGGGGGGGGGGGGGGGGAAGCAGTGTGCCCAACACGGCCGCTCCGGGCCAGGTGGGTCATCGCTGTTGTGGTGCCTCATCTGGCTTTTCCACGCCAGCCGGAGAAACTACTGCGCATGCGCCAGAACTCTGACCCGGCACCGCCACAGCGCGAGCCTAGCGTTGTCTCCAGACTATGAGAACCGCAGGCGATGGCAGGTACATACGTGTCAGTGCGCACACCGCCACAGGGGCGTGTACACATTACACCTCCGGGTCGACATCCCCCCCCCCTCCTTAAAACCGCCCCAGGGGCGAACACACATGGTACCTTCGGGAGGACCCCCCTTCCCCCCCCCCTCCAACCTGCTTACCAAAATGATGGCCCGTGTTGAACACGCGTTCGGGAGAGGGCCAATTTGTCCGCCCTCTAAACACTTTTTCAAAACGACTTCTTAACCACGCTGTGCAGCCACGCTAAAGCTGCCAAATGTGTAGGCAATTAAATGATCGATCTTTTGGTAAACAAAATTAGACTGTACCTGCATGGCCGCTGACCTACGGCAGGTCAAAGTCAGGCCATGCCTATGCCAGGCGGAGAAGGTAATTCCCAGGGAATCCTTCCATGTGATACAACGGAGTGTTACATGAAGTCATGCAACTTTGACATGACCTGATATGAACACAAGCAGCAGTTCACTTATCAGAGGTAACTAGGCTAAGGCTGAGGGCGTAGAGACATCTGATCACACTTCAGATACCCATCTGAAGTTTGGACATGTCTGACCTTATGTGGCTCGAGGGTTACGACATAATGGCCCCCTAATTTAAGACAAGTGAATTTACATAGAGCCCATTCCCTGTGAATCTATTGCCTAGTTTTCTGTTTGTTTTGTTATCTTAGATAGGTCAAACTGACGCACCCAACCGAGCTTGTCGCATTTAACCGGCCACCTAGGCACGTGTCCATGCGTGCAAACGTGAATAAATGTTGACACGGGGAAGTTCCAGGTAGACTCGTAAAATAAGACGATTAAGATCATGCCATGCTGTTTCATGACACGCCACAAATATTGCAACCACCGCCGCCCCGAGGTAACACGTGCCAGCAGAGATTGCAAAGGCTGCGGTGGTCTACAGCTAGTTGTGGATGCTAACAATTCAGCGTGCATACGCCAAACTTCCACTCGTCGTCGCCATTGAGGCCTTATGGCGCACCAAGCCCCGGCGCTGGAGGGCGTTGCCCGCCGCCGATGTCAGGAAGGGAGCACACCGCGAGCATCGGTGCCCATGCTCATGCTTCCCCGGACGCGCCGCTTAACCGCTACACCGGCCGCACCCGTCTAAAAATCTTCATTAATGTATACCATGCAGGACACCCCCCCCCCCCTGGCCAGCCGCGGATCTCCAGCGCCGTTCCTCGCCATTCAGCTGGGTATCTGCGGCCGCTGACGTCCAGCAAACGAGCCTTTCTTGAGCCGCGCTGGGTGCTGGTGTTAGTAGCGTTGGTGCTTATATGCTGCTGAGATTACCCTTGTATGAGACACAAACTGGAACCGAATGCCGAGCAATATCAAAAGCCGCGATCCACCATCCTTGGTTTGCTTGAAGTTGGTGCAAAAAAGCGGCATAGTACAAAAAGAAGAAGAGATGCCCAAATCAGCGCACAAAAACTGTTCTTGTGTCTTTCATTTTATCATGTGATGCAGAACAAATCTAGGTTATCTAGTCAATACCGTAGTGCGCGAAATCTAGTAGCAGTAGTGTCTAGTCAATAACGTAGTGTACGAAATCGCATGCAGGCTTTGAGAAACAAAAGGCTTAGTCGAGTTTTTAAGCAGGTGTCAGCGAGATGGTGAGGAGAGTGTGAGCTTACACGCGTTTGGAGATGTGTTTGGATGAAAGAGGAAAAGCTTGCGATGCGTGGCTGGCTTGAGGATGAAAGCTCGTTGTTAATTTTGGATTGTATAATATTCTAAAGGCTCATTGGCACGCAGTTCATCACATTTGTTCTTACTACCATGTTTACAACCATTCCAAACAACTTCCGCATCCTGAAAAGTAAGACAAAGCTGAAAATCTTACCTCGGTCGTTCTTGCAGCAGAGCTAGGAAAACAGCCGTCTTACCTCCGCCGTTCTTGTAGCAGAGGTAGGGGAAGCGCCAAACGTTGCCCAGGCCGACGCAGAAGCCCATCACAGAGAGCACGAACTCGGCGTTGTTCGCCCACGTCTCGCGCTGCCGGTATTCAGGCCCGCCAGCCTCTTCTTGCGGTGCGGATTTTTGGGGCGATGCCTGAGTCCCCCAGAAGGGCGGTGACGTCACTGGATCACGGTCCAGCATGGCGGCGGCTCTGTTCCCAGCTCTGGGGAAGGGGCGAGGGGTCACGCGGTAGCCGGACAGCGACTCAGAAGGCTGCGCCGAAGGCCATGGTGGTGCTGGTGGTGGTGTAGTGGTGGTGCTGGTGGTGGTGTTAGTGGTGGTGCTGGTGGGGTTCTGGTCAGCTCCTGTTCGGCGTGTGACTCCAGACCATGCAGTTCCTCCACACGGCCGTGGAAGGTGCATTTGTAAACGTCTGTAAGCAAATCGTACGCTGGCAGCTCTACTCGTAACACATGCCTGCGGACGATATCACGTCACTGGTGCGCGCGGCGAGTGACACAACAGGAGCATTACCTCATCACATGGAAATAGAGTGATATGATTTGATAGGCAATGTTTGCTCTGCGCTTTTAAGCGAATTCCATAACTTCCCACTCAGCATTATCCTGATGGCCTCGAGTGCCTGTGATATACGACAAAACACATGTGCGACAAGAAATGATTCCGGAGATGGAACTATTGGTCGGCTTTTGAGCCACGCTTTAGCTAAGCCCAAACGCTTCATAATCGCATCGCAAACGAAATGCGAAACCGACCGTGGCGATCACTCTAATGCTGGGCTACCAGGTGACGTAGCCAAGGTCTCGCACAGGATGGGGCCATATCGGGCAATATGGACCCTTTGCAGCAAATGAGGCCCTCTTTGCCGGTATGGCTGGCCTTTAGTGGGATCTGGAGCACATCACTAGGCACAAGCCTCGATAGCTGAGCTGGTCAGAGGGCCTGCCTTCCGATCCACCCACTCGTGGCGGGGTGGGTCCGAGTCATTTATGTTACAGATATAGTTTGTGGCCGGTGGCAGCAGCCGCACTTAAGGTCATGTGACGTCAGAGAGCAGGGCGAGCCATGCCAAGCATTACGGCAAGATAGACCTTCGCCATCAAATTCTGCCGTTGACCTGAGCTTGCACGATCGGACTGCAGGGGTCAGGGGTCAGGGCTCGGTCGGAGTCAGGGTTACTCCGGATAAAGTCTCAAAAACAAGAGCCCATTGTTGTAGTTTTACAAAGGGATTGCCATTGGTCAATCCTTTAGATTTCAGGTAAGATTTGGTTTTGCTGCCTCTGGGACCATTTGTATTTTTTACGGGGCTACGGACATCTGAAACATACAAAAATAACGAACAATGCATTTACGGAAATCCTCGGTCTTAGTCAGTCCGCCCGCATTCCAGGGGGCATGTTACCAAAAACTCCTACTTGTTTGTTGTTTTTGTTGTTATTTTCGCTTTCGGTAGAAAGTCAGTCAGCGATACGAATGCAATGAATAATTGACACCAACCAACCATACTTAGAAGAGCCGTCGCAAAATGACAAGACCAAGCTGAAACTGTACCTGCGGGCAACCTGTAGCTTGCTTCAGCGCAGTCTCAATTTGTGAGGCACTTCCAGAAGTGCTAAGGACGTTTTAAGCTATCAAAGAGCACTAACACTACACACTAGAACACTAGAACCTTCGGTCCCAGAGGTTCCACCATCACCAGGGAACGTGGTGGCTCCACAACCTCCCTGTTGGCTACGTTAGTGGGATTGTGTTAAAGATGTACTCCCGTCATTTTCGTTTCAGTACAAAAGTGACACGGCAGCAGTTGCACATAACCCCAACAGTCCCGCATATCCCCAGCAGTCGCACATAACAAGATGTTCTTTGCAGGCACGTGACGCTGTGGCTTAACGCCGTCCGATATCCACCATACCGCAGCGCCCACCTGAGTGTAATGACAGCGCTCTTCCAGCGCGTGCTACGAAGTGGGGCCAAAAACCGGCCCCGCACTGTATCAGTCATCAAACCACACGGAATAATACAACTTAGACAAAAAAAGCGTGGAACAAGTCACCAATAGCACCTCGAGACGAAAAGTGCCGAATGGATTTAACGCTTTTGGAATAACAAACATTTGGAAGGTGTAATTTGCAAATTGGGCAAACGGGAGCAAAAATATATGAAATGTTATGGGCAGCCAATATCACTCTGCCGTTTCGCAAATTGGTATGAACCGCATTTTGTTGAACGCTGTTTCTTTTCAAAACAACTTGATTCTGGAACATAAAATGTCGTTGGTAGAGCACGCTAGAAAATACTTATTTTCCAAACATGAGATGAAACCCTCATCGTATACACCGCCGCTCATTAACCGATGAGATTCGGTTGCTGTCCACTCACGATTTAGACGAGATGGACGATCCGTTGCCATTCATCCTCCGACTAAGCTACTGTCGTCGAGCTTAGTGATCATCAAGCTTACCTGACAGCAATGCATATTGTGGAAATTGGGGATTTCATGAAAGTCTGCGATATACATTGTTTATCCATGGTCATTTGTTTCTGTTCCTTCGATTTGAATGAGGGAATGCAGCGACGTGATCAGCGACTGGATTTCTTGGTTGTAGGTCGAAGTTAATTGATATTTCAAAGGTTAAAAAAAGAATCCACGTCTTCATTTTTTTGGTAATTTTAGACGGGCAGCTGGCTCATTCTTGGACTTTGGATTGTACTGTGGACACGAACGTCCAGAAAACAGCACCTCTGGTCGGGACACATGGTTGTAAAATATAGCGGAGACCTTAACTACATCCCGGAAGCCAAGCCGGGGCGCCGCTCCTGGGCCGCCACTGCCGTGTCGAACACGCCCTGCGTCCCACCTGTGACGATCGGCCGAGAGGGCGCGGTCGGCGACGGGCGGGTGCTGCCGCGCCTCGGCTGCCGCACGTGTCACGGACGGGCGCCTGGCCTGGCCTGGTGAGGGCTGTCTCCGCTGACCGGGCCGCTCCGGCGCCTCGCTCACCGCCACGTCACGCGGGATCGTCACCAGCGGGAAGCGGCCGCTGGGTGCGCCGGCTTCCCATTGGACCGGCCCTCCCAGCCCTCTCATTGCCCGGAGTGGTGAGGGGGGGGGGGGGGGCAGGAAGAGGCTGATGATGGAACCCAGAGCCCTGTCATAAGCAGCGGGGAGCGCCATGCCAGGGCCGGAAACAAGAGGCGTTTTCTTGGGTAGCGAGGGAGGGAGGCGTGGGTGGCTTGTAACCCGCCTTCTCTCGAGCTGTCCGCCTAATGAGGCGGCGGCAACCAGTCGGCCCGAGGGACCACTTCTGAGAGAGCTCCGGCACTCTGAGAAGTCCCAGAGCGCGAGGGCTCGCGGGGTGCACTGTTTCAGCCGAAGCTAAAGCGTGTGTCCGTGACATCGCTGGCAGTTTCAGACCTACGTCAGTTTTGCCTATACCGTCCAGAATGCGTAAAAGGTCGGGTACATGCAGCTTTTGTCCCACCTCGCTGCCCATGATCTTTGAGTTCGATGGCAGTACGCTCACAGACCTTACCACTCAACACAGGTCGCCCTAATGGATTCCGTTGGGTCAGCGGTATGTCGCATCGGCGTTTGGTGCGCTGTCGCCACCACCTCCATTGATCTAAGCCATGCATTTGGTAGGGTCGACCATGGCGCCCTTCTGACAAGGCTGCAGTGGTGCAGCATCGATCCGAAGTGCTTGAGAGCTACCTCGCTGGTCGGCGGCAGGTGTTCAGAGGCGGCTCCTCGGTCGGCCCTATCCTCTTCAGCATCTTCACGAACGACCTAACGTCTTACCTCCCTCAAGGACGTCTAGAGTCCTATGCCGACAATACCCGACTGTTAGGACTCCGCTCACCCATGCTAACTATCCGTTTTGAAATCCCGACAGTGACATCGCGGGACACAAATTAAGACCTTTGCCGCTGGTGAAGATGCTGGGGGTTACTGCTGAAAGCACCCTTTCCTGGGAGATGCACATATTCCATGTCGTCAAAAGTGCAACGCCATCCTTCTCTATTTGCCTAAAATTCGTCACCACCTTACGCCCGAAGTTCACAAACTTCTCATCCAGTCTCACATTTTCCTTCATCTGTACTGCCTCTCGATCTAGGGTGGGGCTGTTGCGTGTCACGTTGCAGCGCAAGGGGTGATAAACTTCAGGGTCAGGATCGTCACCGATGCTCGTCGGCGAAGTACAATGGCGGTGGCTGTTCAAGCGCTGGGCTGGTGCGGTGTTAATGACCTTGTCACCCACCGTAGCAGCCTGGCCGCATTCATGGTCTTCCATGAGGTGGCGATCTGGTCCCCTGTTGACCCTGCGTACCGCTGTATGCCAGCGTGCCACCGAGCGGTGGCAGCGAGCGCCCTTGATCTGCCAGCTCCTCGCCTGTCGGTGGCACGGAGGGCTTTTTTGTATTGTTCGGTCTCATGCTGAAGCCGCCTGCCGCCGAGCATCACCGCCTCTCGCATCGGCAGTGACCGAGCAGTGACCGATTATCACCGCATCTCGCATCGGCAGTGACCGAGCAGTGACCGAGCACCACCGCATCTCGCATTGGCAGTGACCGAGCAGTGACCGAGCATGACGCAGTGACCGAGCATCACCGCTCCCGCATCGACAGTGACCGAACAGTGACCGAGCAACCCAGTGACCAAGCATCACCGCCTCCCGCATCGACAGTGACTGAGCAGTGACCGAACATGACGCAGTGACCGAGCATCACCGCCTCCCGCATCGACAGTGACCGAACAGTGACCGAGCATGACACAGTGACCGAGCATGACCCAGTGACCGAGCATCACCGCCTCCCGCATCGGAAGTGAGTTTCTCACCAGGCCAGAGGACTTAGACGGCTCCGATACGCCTTCACTGCTTTCTCGCCGTTGTGTAACATGTGTTGACGATTTAAAATTTCATAACTGGTTTTGTTTCTAGGACAGTAGCAGCAGCCTTCTTCCTCGAGAAAAACCAGGGGAGTGGAGAAATAGATGGGTTGATATTTCGGCAGCATGCCTTCATCGAAACAATAGCAGAAGTGTCATTCTCCTGCTTTGTTTAGATAAAGGCATGTTGCCGAAATATGAAACCAGTTATGTCTCCACTCGCCTGGTTTTTCTCCGGGGAATATGGCTATTACTACTGTCTTATCTATGTGAATAATGTTCCTCGCTAATGCACTGGACAACTTACGTGATTTTATTTCTGAGTAAGTTGGGAACGACCCGTTGGTGATAACGTGCGACTGTAGGTGCCTTATAATGTTTTAATATGGCACTCATACTGCAATTACACTTGCACCGAATCAAACAATACGACAATTGTTTGAATTGTTCGTGGATACACTAAACTAAATTGCACTGACCTGTCGTCAACGATATTACGCGCTGGAAGGGGCATGCTCACAAACACATCTAGACGTGTGCTCCGCAGACTTGTAACACGGCGCTGGGATGCAAGCGGTGTTTTAAAACAAACATCGATCATGTAAGTATTAGCTACCGGATATATACAATGCTTTGTAGAGCTTGAAATTTTTTATGTTTCTAGAAAATGGCACTTTGTCGCAGGCATTGCAACAATATGACCTGCCCTGGCATTGCTGTGAATATTTTTTAAAATTTGTTTTATAAATTTGGTCCCAATCCTTTGAATGAATGGATTTCTGGGATCAGTGCTCACGCTAAGCAGTGCTTGTTGTGTGAGCCCTGACCCCCACCATCTGATCGCGCAATTCCAGGCAACGGCAGAATTTAGTGGCGAAAGCTTTACGTGCCGCAATGCTCGGCACGGCCCGTCCTGCCCTCTGACGTGAACTGACCTTAAGCGCGACCGCTGCCACCGGCCGCAGGCCATACATGCCAGGGGGCAAATAGCGAGCGCCCTAAAGCGACTCGAACCCATCCCGCCACGGGTGGGTGGGTCGGAGTGCAGGCGCCCGAACCAACTGAGCCACCGGGACGGACGAACAAACTTTGCGAAAAATGTCTGCTTTGCCCGAGTCACTTGGCCAGCATCTTTCGGTCGATTTTGAAACATTATGAAATGCTTTAAATCATATCAAACGACTGATATTTATTAAAAAAGAAGCAGTATACTAAAGAATGTGACAACTGACTGGCCTTAACGGGCTGTACATGCCCATGGCGTTCTAATCAAATGAGTTAGTTGTTGTTAAGCTGTTAAGTTGTTAAGTTGTTAAGTCATTAAGCGCATTTACCAGAGACATACAGATAAGACAGTAGTAGGCCTTTTCCTCGTAGAACAGCCAAAAGTCTAGAAAGATAGGCACGTTGCGCGTCACTTAGCAAATGAACAACCCTTGCATCGGTCAAACGCATCTATCTCCCTATTATCTTGCTTTCTACGAGGAATAAGGCTATTACTGCCTTCTTATCTGTATGTTCCGGAATCTCTCTCCCCCTCTTCTCTTCTCTCTCTCTCCTCTCTCTCTCTCCCTCCCTCCTCTCTCTCTCTCTCTCTCTCTCTCTCTCTCTCTCTCTCTCTCCCGGTGACACGTGTCCCCACACTTGATCTATCGCACCCCAGGATCCTCAATTCTCCAATCCGTCCTCAGACAGTCACGTTACATAACTGTCTCTTCCAAAACGAGCCCGGGGCATAAGCCATCCACGCCTTATTGGTTCGTGCGGCGCCTGCGAGATTTTCACACATGGGCCTCACGGCTTCCGACTGAGTTTGATCCTTACATTTCGGCCTACAGAGGCTCGGGTCCACCTCACTGAATCAGACCCACCGACAATGTCGACCATTACAGGCCTGTATGAACGACATCTCGACATTGACCCGTTGGCGGCGCGCGGTCACGGTCCTTACTTGGCGCAGCAGCAACAGGGCGCACTCTGGAGCGTAGAACGCCGCCGGTTGTGAGTGGGTAGAATACCGCCGGTTTATGAATGGCGGTGGAACGCCGCCGGTTTATGAATGGGTAAAATGCCGCCGGTTTATGAATGGCGGTAGAATGCCGCCGTTTAGCGTCATCTTTACCAGTGGGGCCATTTTGGCCATGGTCGCCCTGGCACTGCAGTCATCCCGCAGCAGCTCAGGAGAATCCCAGAATATCCCAAGGGCGGATTTCCAAATGGGAAAATCCAATGCGCTAGCATTTTGTATCCCTATATCAACGCCAACGAATGTATAGTCACCTCTTCGCGCGAGATGATAGGAATTGTTTCAGGTCAGCCGTATTTAGGCCAACTCGCTACAGGTGGGCCTTACGCAGTCAGCAATCACGGGTGTCAATTTGCTTTTTTGGGTAAGCCACTGTCTGTTTACCAATATCCGATATATCCCACCATGACGGCAGGTTTAGCTCGTCGAACCTTCTGGAGCCCGAGCACATGGAAGCATTAAACATGTGAGCTTGAAATTATATAAATATTAAAGAAGGTTTTAACCAATCGGGTTTCGTTTAAAAGAAATAAAAAAGAGACATGCAGCGTCATATCCATTTGAGTGCAACTGACCAAGCTATCGGTATAAATTACCGTGTTTATTTGAGCATTTTCTGTGTTTCCTTCTCAGTTTAAGACCTCACACAAAGGTGGAGCGCTGCTTTAACAGGCAGTGTTCCATATTTGCATGGAGTTTTGAACACAGATAACCATTTTGAAAATCATTCGGTGGAGTTAACAGCGCTGCCCTTCTTAAGCCCTACAAAGTCTAGTTTATGAGTTGAACGCCCGCAAATATGTGCAGACTATCTCATGCAGACTATTTCAAGGTCATTCAGGGCCATCTTTAAGGTCAGAATAGGCCACTGACCTGAAATGACCAAGGTCAACATTTTGCTTTTAGGAAATACTGCCTAGCGTAACACTTGTCGCTTTTTCAAATTTAAGACACAAAGCAGTCTTGAATGATTCTGATCGCCACAATCTTTGAAATGTCAAACAAGGTCACTGACCTAAGATGAAATGTGACCTTTGCTTAGAAGAGG